CCTTTGACATCTGTTTATTTAAGACATTCAAGTAGAGTTACAAGACTAATCTTTACGATTCATCTTCACCCTCCTCATCTTCATCTTCATTGTTGATCTGGAAGTACCTCAGCTCATAAGTAGTTTGTGCAGAGGACACAACTCGCAGCCAGTCACGTAGGTTGTTCTTCTTCAGATACTTCTTAGTCAGATACTTTAGATACCTGCAACAATGGAGAGCAGTTTACTCATTTTATCACAACCACCCTGGTGTTCTGAAAAGATAGCCATCAAGCTGAATCTATCATAGCTCGCTTTCATTCAAGGAGATAAATACCTTCAAGGAAATAAATACCTTCTTCACTAGAACCAACATTAAAGATTGCTTACATGTTTGAACACATTACAAGCTTAAAATGAGGTGCATGTTCTTTTAATAAATATTTCCAAGCAGGATATTTTAACAAATTCTCACAACTTCTTTGACTCCGGTACAAGTTGACAAACATAAGGAAAACAAAAAGTCAAAAAATAGATGGTGCAATTTTTTTGCACAAATGAAGTCCAAAAAATATTGCTTCATGTACATCAACTACACAATTTGAACCCTGAAAATGTCCTAGGTAAGGTCAAGAGGAATATTGACCAAAATATGGGTTTCATAAGGGAAAGGGGCGGGGGGTCTTTGCAATGAAAAATAATGAGTTTCAGTTCAAGACAAACCTTTGAAGACTTGTCAAATTTCAAGATGCAGGAGATGGGAATTTTGAAGAACACAAGCTGCATGGTAGAAACATTTGCTAGACATTTGTGCCACGAAACTTACCTTTTGGAGAACGGAATTTCAGAAACAACAGTGATCTTGTTCTTCTGACGATCAATGGACACATCACTGCCAAAATTATTGGTCTTGCCACCAACCTTTATCCTCTCATGGAGAAATTGTTCCTGGAAGACAAAAATTTGGCACTTAGGGAAGGTGGCCCTAAGCATGGCAAACCAATCAAATTTTTTCCCAACTCTCACTGTTTTCTCCTTCAAAAAAAGCTATCAAAGTTGCACTTAGTTAAATGTCTGATGTATTTACTTTAATTAAAATTTACCACTGTGAAAAAGGAAATTGTTAAGAAATTAAGACTAACAACCTTCACACCTCTTTAAAAACAATCACAGTCCTTTTATGAGCACCTGTAATGGTGCCATTTATATGAAGATTTTTAATCAAGAGAAACAACTACCGTGTATCATACTGCAATTTTAAGAACTTTTTTGTTTCTATGCCCAAACAATACCATGGTTACTGTCAAAGTTTCTTACAGACTAAGGAGCAGACCCCAAGCTGCCCAAATTTTTTTTTTCTGCCCAGAGGTTTTAAAAAGTTTTCCAGAATTTTAACAGCCCTGCAGTTTCTTTGCCAAAGCTAGTACAATGTACTGTGTTTACACTTAACCTGCCCTACAATATAATCTGGTTTCATCAACTAAGCTGATAATGAAAATTGACCACTAAAAGAGTTTGTAAAGCTGACATTTTGAGGGTTAGCCCTTCATCAGAGCAACAACATTTCTTCAGAAATTTACCCCCCTTATTCAACTGCCCTACAATAACTAGAAAATTAAAAAACAAAAAAAAAACAATTAAATCATTACTCACAAAGTTGGCTACATCCATGATTCCATCTTCAACTGGATGAGTACAGTCCACAGTGAACTTCAACTGTGTTTTCTTCTTCTGTTGCTTCTTTTTCTGCGTAAAAAATTAACCAAAGAAGATTTAATCCACAGAGTCAATCAGCACAAGCAAAGTTTACCCTTTACCTCCCGATGAAAAGTAATTTCTCTCTACAATATCCATACAATCTCCAGAAGACAGGTAATAAGAATACCAAATCTTATCAGGTAAAAGTTAACTGAATCTAACATCATATTTTCTAATTCCCCATGCAATTGGGTTTATGTATTTCGTGAGTTTTTACCCATTTTGCCTTGTTTTCATCATGTTATCCTCTTTTCCCACATGTTTCCTTCCTTTTGGGTAATTTAGTATTACCAACTGCATTGATAACCTAAATTGGCCACCATAAAGAGTTTGAAAGCTGACGTTTCATGAGTTAGCTCTTCATCAGAGCAAACAATGAGGGGCTAAGGCCAGTTTACGTTATCAACTCAGTTGATGATACTAAATTACGCTGTTGTACTCTCCAACCAACTTAGCACCACAGTTTCTTTAAAAACTTACCCCCTTCATTCCTTACTTTTGGTTTTGCTTGTAACTTAAGAATTAATTAATATACAAGAATCGTTTTCTGTCAAGGGAGTGCACTTTCTGACCAACTTTAAGACCACCAATTTTTTCATCGACCCTTCTTCAAAAATCCGAGAAATATATGGTTTCCTCGAGACGAAGTTTGGCGAAAAACAAATGCTCGTGAGCAAAAACAACGTTTTTTGAAGCTAAAGCAGCTATAAGCCGTAAAAACCACCGAAGGAACACTTAAATCATCGACAATCCTATCAAACGAGTTTCGAGGAGTGAAAAATTCAGTACATGCTATAATTTCGATGAAAACGTGTGGCTTTAAATAAAAGCTTCACCTCCCCAAAAAGGTATTCAAAGTGAAGACAAGAGCTTCCTCTTTAATTTCATTCCATAAATCTGTAGTTCAACGCATTCAAATATGGTAAAATACAGAAACATTCTTTACAATTCTTACCGCCGGCATGATGGCTCAAAAGAGAAAGAAAGAGGACACATGTGGCAATGCAGGGGGTACTTGACCATCCGCATGCGCTGAAAATAATTCAGCTGTGTAAATATCAATGCGGGCGCTTAAATGTTCAAGATGGCGCCCAGACGGCCAAGCGAAGAAGAGTTGGGAAGAAAATGGGATCGGTGCCTTGTAGATACAACGTTTAAAACTGGTATTTTGAAAATCAAGAAGAAGTAGAAGATAATTTTGATAAGAGTTCGCTGAATTTACCTCATACCTTTTTTTCAGTTGGTGGAGCCGTGTTTGGCGGTGTTCTTTCGTTACTGTTCTTCAAAAGTAAGTCCAGAGAAAGCTTAGGTGTTAGCTTATGCGGAAGTTTTAAACTCTTTTGTGCACTTTAAGATTCAAATATTCTTCTAAAAACTAACTTTGAGGAAAAATTAATGATTTTTTCCAGCAGGGCGAAGATTTCGTGCCCTCTGTGAAGTCCAACAATTACTTCGCTGGAATAGGGGCCTTGCTGGGAGGTCTACAAGGGGGGAGGAGAGGGTTTCCTATTTAGGGTGTGGTTTTTTGGATATTTCAATGAAATTCGTTTGGTTACTGGATTCCATTTTTTGATTTGACTTACATAAATTTATCTAATGAACAAGAGGTATAAAGGTGACCAATATGAAGCAGCAATACACCAATATTGTCTAAGATCAAGTGTTCCCTGACATGAAATCATAGCTATTAACTCTTTACTCCCAAGATCTCATTAGCAATTCTCCTTACTGTCTGCATTACAATTATTTTAATATGATTTTGGAGAATTTAGTATTGGATCGACTAATGATCCCCCAGTTGATATTTTCTTTATTCCCATTACTCTTCTGCTTGATATTGTATTGATATTGTAAGGAGAAATTCTGTCTTGGTCACTCATGGGAGTTATAGGGTTAAAGGGATTTAAATATCCATGGCTCTTTTACACCCCTAGCATCTCTACAAAAAGTGAAAAGTTTATCTAAGGTGTTATTCATCATAGCCTGAATGAAACTAACTCTCATTTATGGGTATCATTGAAGGGATTGGAGGATAAATTTACCTCTAGGACACTGGATTATTACCTGTAAACAAGAAAAAACACCCTATCAGAATGAAGGGTTTGAAATCCATCGAAAGGGTTTTTGTTCACACCAGCTTATTACTGCTTTTATCACAATGAGTATATTTGTTTGGATGTTTCCTTATAACTGTAGCTTCCTCTAATACTTTTTTCCTTTAATATGAAGGGGCTGCATGGCCTGTTACATTAGGAATTGGTGTAGGCCTTGGAGCTGGATATTCAAACTGTAGACACCAGTTGTACTGGCAGGGCCCTCCTGGATCTCCATTTGGAAGGCCTCATTGGGGAAGGCCTTTTTGGGGCAGGCCTGGTGAAGGTGGTGAAAGACGACCCTCTTTCAAGGTAGGTTAAGGAACATGGAAAGATGTTACAGATAAGGGTCCAGTTGTTCAAAGGGTGAATAACATTATGCAACAGATAAATTGCTATTTAGCAGATGGGTGTTAGCAAAACATATAGCATTATCCACCAGATAGAGATTTATTCAGTGGATAGTACCATCCAACATTTCAACAACCAGGGTAAGGTGCTTTACCATCAGGACAAAGCACTTTTCTCTTTATTCTGGTTACTTAGAAACACTGGGAAGTCCTGGCCAATCAAGGTATTTTCTTGATTGCAAAAAACCATGTCACACCACCCAATAAATATCGCAGTCAGTTTTATTAAACCCTGTAACTCCCAAGATCTCATTAGTGATTCTCTTTACTGTATGCCGTAAAATTCATATGATATTGGTTTTGATAATTTGGAATTGGATCAACTAATAATCTGGTAATAAACCTTTTTTTTATTCTCTTTACTTGTCTGCTTGATATTGTGCTGATAGTCTAAGGAGAAATTCTGTCTAGGTCACTGGTGAGACTTAACCCTTTCACTTCCAAGATCTTATTAGTAATTCTCCTTACTATCTGCCATACAATTCTTATGATGT